ACACTGTCCTCAGCTAAGATCTGTTTAGTGGCTATATAAGTTCATATGCCTCTCAATCTATTTACTTTCAGGTTCATGAACTATCAGTTGAAATGATTCCTAGTGGCATCAAACAATTTTTTTATGAATTACAGCTATTGTAACTGGCTAGAGTTTTTGGTTGTTTTAACAAAGGTTTCAGCCAAACTGATTAACAACTACTGATTCTTACCTTCTTTTGAGGAAAGTCACCTTTCTGTTTGCTATTAGCTCTTTTAGAATAACCCATGAGCTCTATGTTCTATATTGCTTTACCTTACCTAGTTTTTCCTCAGGACGAGGTTGTTCTCTGGCCATTATGCTTTTTGCTAAGACTGGTCTCTTTGTTCCACCTATCACATGATTTGTTCCTTCTTACCTTCATTGTCTGGCTTGGAAAAGATGATGACATGATCTTTGATGGGTCTCCTCATTTTACCTTTCAAGAACAGGTTAATATAGACAGGCCTGGGGCTTCTTTGTACAGTGGTGCCTCGCATAGCGATTGCTCCGTTTTACGGCAAAATCACATAGCGACACTGTTTTTGCGATGTTCCCTATGCACTATTTTCGCTTTGCGATGATTGCAGGGAAGCGATCATCGCAAAGGCCCCATTTTCGGCCAGCTGATCGGTGGTTTCAAAATGGCCGCCGGGTAAACAAAATGGCCATCCGCTGTTTTCAGACATGGATTCCTCGCTTTAGAGGCACCGAAAATGGTGGCGCTATGGAGGATCTTCACTTAAAGGTGAGTTTTAAGCCCATAGGAACGCATTAACCGCGTTTTAATGCGTTCCTATGGGCTTTTTATTTTCGCTTAGCAATGTTATTGATTAGCAGCGATTTTTTCGGAACAAATTAACATCGCTAAGCAAGACACCACTGTATGTTATGGAATACCCAAAAAGTCAACCAGTTTTGGCTCATGATAGCTTTTGCGCATGCTTATACTAGTATCCATTGAGAAAACGTAGTCACATGATGCAGTTTTTACTTCTGTACATTGCTAACAAAAGACGTTTTTATCCTTACGCTTCATCCTTGGAGAAAAGTAATGGAGAAAAGTAATCACACAAGGAGGAATTTTTAAGGATCAGTGGGAATTGAGCGAGTCCATAAGTTCTACTGAGCCAAATGGGCCTACTCTACCTGCAACACACTGTACTAAAGTAAGTTGCAACTAAAGTAGGTCCATTTGGATCAATGGAACTTATGGAGGAGTTGACTCACCAAATCCCCACTGATATAATGTGACTATTCTAATGCAACGATATTAAGAAACAGAATTTCTACGTAAAATAGAGATACGTTAATGAGCGTTTTGAACAAAACAGTACATAAAATTGGTTGGATATTCATGTAAATGAATATCCAACCAATATTCTTTGGTACCAATATTCTTTGGCTAAAATCTTCCTGATATTTTTACACTGACATATTGCAAGTGGCATAAATTTAATATGTGGGTTGTCACAAATAAGACATTAATGTAAGGAACTGTTGCAAACTGAGGCAAACAACAGCACATCTCCATGCTAACTTTTAAAACTCCAGCAGTTTGCCAATGAAATTTATTATGCTGCTTGTATTATGCCAACAGGTTTAACTAGTGAGATTTTGAGTTTTATAACACTACATTACATCTGTAAGTGCATTAAATAAATTCTGATTTCCTGTGTACATCTTAGGTGAAAACAACTAAAACAGCTCCAATATACCATGGAACCATAAGACATTTTTTTCTATATGGAGACCATGAGGGAGATGTATATGCTACAGGAGGAGATGTTCAGATAGCTTTGGTAAGCAAATAATTCATGCTTTGAACTAACCCACTGAAATATTCATGTCTAATTAGATTATATATAACAATGTACCAAAATTGTATATGGATGCTGCATAAGTAAAATTTTATGGATTTCTTTCAGTGTTGGAAAATCACTGGGCTACTAAAATATCATTTAAATGTGAGTTTTGAGTCCTGCAGAACTTCTTACTAGGCTTGATACTACAGAGCAGGAGTGGCAAAAGAGTCCCAAAAATCATCCAGCCTAAATATTTAGGCTGTAGAAGCTATAGCTACAGCATTCCAAGCTGGAGAGTTAGAAACTTGAACAATCACCTTTTGCTATGATAGTGGTGTCATATTTCATCTCAGGGAATGCAGAATCAATTTTCTGTTTTCATATTTGCAATTGAAGGTCTGCAAGTCATTTAGTGACTTCTCAGTTGATTTTTTTATTTGCTATACGGTTCCTGTTATGGCTGTAAGTAGAGTGCTGAAAAACATGGTTCTCCATATCAAGAAAGCTGGAAAATAAAAATGCCTGGGGGGATAGAGGAGTTGGAATGGGATTTGTTTGCTTCTGCCACAGAACTACAGTGATATGGGGTATGACCTCCAGTGGGTTGCAGAGAAGAAGCCCTTCTAGAAATCCCTTTCTTACAAATCTCTCCAACAAGACTATATACTGCTTGCTTTGATGAGATTATAGTGATAAAGGGTGCTTGTGGCACAGCCAAGGGAACCTTCATTTACCTTCATTTAAACATCAGAGTGTGGAAGGTGTTAATGTGTTATTTTTGTGATAATTGAGTCATTTGTGTAGTACCATCTGTGTGTAGTATTTTATAAAGAATAGATATCTATCACACAGTAATGTCCAGTCTAAGATAAACAACAGAGGAATGGGTGTGTGTGTGTGTGTGTGTGTGTGTGTGTGTGTGTGTGTGTGTGTGTGTGTATATTGCTCACTACTCTTTTTCAAACTGCTGCCACCAATCTATCCTTAATACTCAAAAAAGGACAAGTGTTTCTTTCAAAACAAAACTGTTGTTTATTGGTTTCACAAAATAAAAAGGGTGAATCACAGGTAGTAAATCAAGTTGTAAATCACGTTTTTCAATTACTAAATCACACAGACTTTTCCCTCACTGACTAGCTCTCACAAATCTATCTCACTCTCTCAAACAACTTCTCTCATCTTCCAAAACTCTCAAAAACTCCCTCACACATCACACACACACCTTATATAATCCAGCTCCTCCCCCTTCTGCACCACCCTTCGTCCTCTCATTGGCTGATGTTCCCCTGCCCAGCTGTGACGGACAGGTGAGAGCAGAGCTGTTATGTTACAGTTATTATGGAGAGGGGTGGTTTGTTTTGATGCTCAATAAATTTTATTCGTTTACCATACTTCGTTATGTTCATATTTGACCTTGATCTGAAGAGATACAAATATACTGCGAAGGAGCTGTAGAGGAAAAGGAGAAAGAGCAGAGTGAGCTGTCCCCTCAACTAGAGATGCCTGAGAGGGAAGGAGAAATAGAGGCAGGGAAGATAATAGGAAATGAAGAGCTGAATGTAGAAGAGTAGAAAGAAAAGGCATCTAAGGCAGAGAGGGAAAAGGTTGAGAGTTGTCTGGTGGAAGAGAGAGAAGGAGAAAGAGGAGAGGAGTTAATTTTACCCGTGTGGGAGGAGGAAACAGGAGAGGAAGGCGGGAGGAGACAATTCAGTATACCGATGACAGGAGAAAGGGAGGGATGAAGAGAAAAAGAATTGGAATATGATAGATAGAATAGAGGGTTGTTAGAGGACTTCCCTAATTTAAAGGTAGGAGGATTACTACCTGATCCGGATACATCTAAGGGGGAACATCGATGGATCCATTAGAATGGATGGTTGTGTTTTTTTCTGCGGGGACAAGGTCCCTCGAGGAAGGTGATTCATCCAGACACTTCCTTCAACCACCCACCGCCGGAGGGAGATTGGGCAAGACACCCTTGTTTTGGGACAATTTGTGCCGTCCAGAGTGCTCCAATGAGGAAGCCCACCAATCAGGAATTATTTGGGCCAGTCCCTCTATGAATCCTGTAAGTTCCAAGACAGAATTGTTATCCCCACAGTATGGACAGTTACCAATATCAGTTTGTTTGAACCAGTAAAAGTTATTGTTGATTCACCTAATGTTAAACCAAATAAACCGGTTAATGTTCAAGAAGAGACTTAGTTGTCATTTCCTACCAAAAGGGAGGAACTGCTTCAAATCTTTAATGAGCCCAATCACATATACATAGAGGGCACACATGAGAGAATGAGAGTTCGTGTTTCCTTTTTTTACCTTTTCAAAAAGCAATAAACAGTTGGTTTTTTGCAGGAACCCCAGGCACTGTATGATGAAATAAAGGTTATTCCAATACACAAAATTGATCGCTTAGCATCCGACACAGCAGTGAAGAAGTACATTGAGGAAGAAATGGCCAGGTAAGCTTTTATAGACCAGTTAAAAGCTAATGTTAATTCAGTTACCTGCAGGCAGTTTACTGACTTCAGAAGTAATGGAAAATATTAGATTGTCACTCAGATGAAATAGCTACAGTCACTTAAAGGTATGACTTTTAATTGATTAATCAATCAGTTAATTGATTATGTCTACACATATTGCACATGAATCTTCATTTTCACAGAGGGTGTACCTTGAATTTATTTCAGCTAGCACCATTTAAGAAGCAGTTCTTGTTTAGCCACCTAGAGTGGTCCTGACCCGGCCAGATAGGTGGGATATAAATGAAATAAAATAAAATAAAATAAAATTTGTCAGAATGAAAGGAGAATTCCTCGAAAGAGATGACATCTACCAGCTTCAGTCTTTAAAGCACTTACATTTTAAATAACTTTTAAAAAATTACTTGGTTCACCAGAGATCATGTTTTGTTTCATCGTAAGAATGTCAATGAATGAATACAATTGACTTACTAAAGTTTGCATTTCTGGGAACCTTACACAATTTTGATTTCTTTTTGTTAGACTCCCTGATGGATTGTCAGTAACGTGGCCTGAAGGGGATGAATTGTTACCAGATGACATCAAACATGCAGGATCCCCCATAGGTGAGTGTTAATTCAAGATACATTTAACTTTAAAGTCCTATTCAAGCATTATTCTATTTGCCCACATATGCACACACAGGGAGAGATTCCATACCAAGTAGTTATTCCTCTGATATTGCAGGTGTCACAGTGTGCTTCTCCCTGATGACCATAGATGTCTGCAGAGGGTGGGTCTCCACAGAACCAGAATCACAGAATTCTGGATAATATGGAGACTTCCATGGTCATTGTTGTAATTGCCAAGGCTTCCATTGTACAGATGTTTATTCTGTTATTTGGTGGGAGAGGCTATGTGATCTTAGGGAAGAGCTACTCAGCTCTGTCCTGCTGTCTGTTCACTAAAGCCTGAGCTGGGCTTTTGTATTGCTTCTTATAAATACTGGCTGATGGGATTGGAATTTGAAAATGTAGTAAATCTTCCATGTGTTTACAGTGTTACAGTGATTTTGTTTTTTTCATAGGAGCACTAAAAGTTGAAATACTGAATAAAAAAGGAGAAGCTATGCAAAAGCTTCCAGGTTCAAGACATGGAGGATCAAAGAAATTACTTGTGGAACTTAAAGTTATTCTGCACTGTAAGAACTCAAGTCTCTTTTTCCTGTAAAACTTTATTATTAATGTGCACTGAAATTGTGTAGACCTCAATTTAAAAAATACTGTAAAGCATTTTGTTGCTAAAGTCACAGTATCTGGAGCTGATAATGGCCAAATATTATACATATAGTCAAGTAGGAAACCATGCTTCAATAGTTGCTCTGCTGTGGAAGGTTCTGGGTTTAATCCTTTGCACCTGCAATTCAAAGAAATATGATAGCAAAAGATGTGAAAAACTCTTGCTTGAGACCTTGAATAATTACTATCAGTCAGGCAGCTAAGAATCACTGAGTGTGATGGATAAGGTTGTGTAAATCTCTTGTCTTTAGTTTCTCTAAGGTGGAGTCACCATTAAATTACTTTGGCAATAACTGTAGAAGTTCTGTGTCATACAGCTTCTCTGAAATGGCTAAAACAAGAATTTCTGTCAGTACAATGGTTTCATCAAGCTGGAGCATTGCACCTTGTCTATAGTACCGATGTCTCCAATCCATGTTTTCCGAAGTCAGCCTTTTCTACAAGATATCTATCACTTGTTAGGTACTCAGCCTCCAGAATATGGGCAAGAACAGATACTGACAGTGACACACAACTCAGCTGAGTCTAATTGGGCAAACTTTATCAGACATGAAGAACAGGCAAAATGGCACTAGCAAAAGACAATTTTTTGAGGAAAAGACTGGTGCAAAAATCAGCAAAATGAACTAAGAAGTGCTGAGGAGATCAGAGAAAGGCAGTCCTACTAACTTGACAGAGCAATGATACCAAAAAACTCTGCAGACTATTTAGGAGGAAATAGATAGCTGATGCCCCAGTTACTGATTTGGTGATCACTCTGAACATTTGTAGCATGTTTAGATTTCCATTTTGACAGTTAAAATTTGGCATGCACTATTTTGCGTTTGTGTAAGTTTTAACCTGTAAACCCAGAGTAGTACTTGCACTAATGGGACAGTATATCATTCAGTTAATTAAAGGTGAGATTGAGAGTCAGATTGCCATTTAGCAAATATATTAACTCAGAAATTCAAAAAGCTGGAGTAACTTCATCTGGTTACCTTGCTCAGAGAATTTTAACTACTTCTGAAGTGCCTGCTGATCTACCTACCCATCACCTTTTCATGTACCAGTTGTCCAATTTACACAGCCAGTTAAGTGTAACTCCCATGCTTCCTGGGCTAGGCCCTGCAGACCTTAGCACTATTGAGCCATTGTTCAGTTTTTTGGTGCTGAAGAAGTTTTAATTAATTAATTTAAAATATTTTGCCTCATTTATCTCCTTTAAAAGGACCCAAGCTGGCTTGCATTATTAAAAGCAGGACAGGGAGTTTACAAATACTAGTCACTAAAGGCAGTCACTAAAGGAAAGCTTTCCTGAAGAGAAAAGTTTTTGCCTGCTTGCAGAAAAGACAGTAAAGGTGAGACCAGCCTGGCCTTCTGTGGCAGGGAGTTCCAGAGTCTGGGAGCAGCAACTGAGAAGACTCTCTCCTGTGTACCCACCAAATGCACCTGTGAAGGTGGTGGAACCAAGAGAAGTGCCTCTCCTGATGACACTCGAGCAGGCTCATAAAGGGAGATGCAGTTCTTGAACTGGTTGTCTGTGTCAAAGGAAAGAATGTTGTTTGGTCTAGAAATTTAATATCACAAATTTATACTAATGTTTCCTGCAAAGGATAACTTTTGCTAATTGTTGCAGAATTTATAAAAGATGTGGTAGAGTTCTTAGTAGCTGGGAAGGACTGTTGTTTCCCCAAGGGTCCATAATTCCACTTTCCATACCCACTATTGTGTTCTGCCATCTATGGCTGCAGTGACATAGCTAGCCTATCTAGGCATGTAGCTGGGATGAGTAAAAGAGTTGTCCCTGATCCAGCATAGTTCTTCTTGCCTTCTTACAGCGTGGGTAACCATGGCAGAATCTGATTTCTCTAGATAGGGCTTTTAAAAATCTAATAGAAATGTAAATTTTACAAAGCTGTTAAGATTTCTTCACCAGACTTATGAAGTCTTTAGCGTGTCATAAATTAGTCATGAATTGATATCTTTTATCATTTACTTGAATGCTTATGCTATTTGAGAGGTTCTGTCTCTATTTATATAATTGTTTAACTTTTTTTCTCCTTTAAGCTCCTAGTGGAAATAAGGAAATCATTTCTCATATCAGTCAGCATGGGGGTAAATGGCCTTTCTGGTTCAAAAAAATGGGTGAGTGCTTATGCTTTAAATCTATCCTATAATAGTATAATTGATCAATATTTTTATTATCTCATTTTAAACCTTCTTTCTGATTATATGCAGAAAATATTAACGTACTTGGGCCTTACACACTGAAGCTTCAAGTGGTATTGAATGAAAGCAATGCAGACACATATGCAGGAAGATCTCTTCCTTCTAAAATATATGAATTTAAAATAATAGGTAAGGTTAATTGTTATCCAAATATTCAATGTCTGACTTTTTTGTTACGTAATTTAGATTTGATGAATTCATTAAAATACATTTTTATTATTAATTGACTGTAACATTGAAAGCATTCCTGAAAATGTTAATTCATTCTAAAACAATGTTTATGATGCATTCAACATCCAAATGATAAGGTTTTGCTCCTTTTCCTTTATGCATTTGCAAAACATTATACATAACTTTTTTACTCTGATCAAATAGTAATATCTGTCCCAGTAAGTATGGTTTTTGTAAGCTAGTGTAACAGAATAATGAATGGAGGGATAATTAGTAGCAGAGGTAAAAATAGAACAATGGGAAGAGTTATAATCAGTTGGGAACGTCAGTGTGGAGGATCAGAGAAAACGTGTAGTTACCAAAGTGGTTACGTTGGATTTAGTAATCTAAAACATAAGTGTTTTAGATTACTGCCTGCTCTGGATATTCATGTTTCATATGTAAATATACATTTAATGTTCCAACTCTGCATGGTGTGGCCTATGTAAAATATAAGGTGGGTATATCTTGTCCCATGGAATGGCTTTGACATAGACAGAAAAGAGTGTGGAGGGGGGTCCTACTTGAGAAGTCTTTTTTTCACAAATAAGTTTTATCATTAAAAGGAAGAGAATAAGAATAGTTGCAATCAAATCTCTAAATGATTTCATTGGAAAAATGTGTTTCTTATTAAAGATATTTTTTTAATACCTCAGAGGGCAAGCCACAGAAATTTTCAATAGGTCTTTTGGATGCTCCATTTCGGGTTGGACTTCCATTCTGTATACCTCTAGATGTCCAAGATGAGTTCGGTAATTCTACTCACCTGCCAAATGATATTGTACCGGTCCTTGAAGCTAGGTAACTGTCATTTAAGTTTCTATTTTTAAAAAATAAAAAGGTTTTTTAAAATAGGAAGATTGAAATTTTGATGCAAATGCTGTTTCCTATGCCAGTGCTGAAACATTGAGTCTGTAATGCATTGAAGGCTGTACAGATGGGAATGGGTGATTTTTACTTAATGAATTGGCTTATCTGTCTCTGTTGTCACAACATTAAGAAAATGGCTGTTAAATTCTTCCACGGTTCGTTGTTTGCATAATGGGGAAAAAAAGGACAGATAGTTGCTTAATTTGTTGTTAGTCATTAAGTCATGTCCGACTCTTCGTAACCCCATGGGCCAGAGCATGCCAGGCCCTCCTGTCTTCCACTGCCTCCCGGAGTTGGGTCAAATTCATGTTGGTAGCTTCGATGACACTATCCAACTATCTTGTCCTCTGTCGTCCCCTTCTTCTCTTGCCTTCACACTTTCCTAACATCGGGATCTTTTCCAGGGAGTCTTCTCTTCTCATGAGATGGCCAAAGTATTGGAGCCTCAGCTTCAGAATCTGTCCTTCCAGTGAGCACTCGGGGTTGATATCCTTCAAAATGGATAGGTTTGTTCTCTTTGCAGTCCAGGGGACTCTCAAGAGTTCCTCCAGCACCACAGTTCAAAAACATCAATTCTTCGGCGGTCAGCCTTCTTTACGGTCCAACTCTCACTTCCATACATGGCTACTGGAAAAACCATAGCTTTGATTATGTGGACCTTTGTCGGCAAGGTGATGTTTCTGCTTTTTAAGATGCTCTCTAGGTTTCTCATTGCTTTCCTCTCAAGAAGCAGGCATCTTTTAATTTTGTGGCTGCTGTCACCATCTGCATTGATCATGGAGCCCAAGAAAATAAAATCTGTCACCACCTCCATATCTTCCCCTTCTATTTGCCAGGTGGCGATGGGACCAGCTGCCATGATCTTAGTTTTTTTGATGTTGAGTTTCAGACAATTTTTTGTGCTCTCTTCTTTCACCCTCATTAAGAGGTTCTTTAATTCCTCCTCACTTTCTGCCATCAGAATGGTATCATCTGCATATGAGAGGTTGTTGATATTTCTTCCGTCAATCTTAATTCCAGTTTGGGATTCATCCAGTCCAGCCTTTCGCATGATGTATTCTGCACATAAATTAAATAAGCCAGGGGACAATATACAGCCTTGTCGTACTCCTTTCCCAATTTTGAACCACTTCGTGGTTCCATATCCAGTTCTAACTGTGGTTGCTGTCTTACATATAGATTTCTCGGGAGATCGATAAGGTGGTCAGGCACTCCCATTTCTTTAAGAACTTGCCATAGTTTGTTGTGCTCGACACAGTCAAAGGCTTTTGTGTAGTCAATGAAGCAGAAGTAGATGTTTTTCTGGAACTCTGGCTTTCTACATAATACATCGCATGTTAGCAATTTGGTCTCTAGTTCCTCTGCCCCTTCGAAACCAAGCTTGTACTTCTGGGAGTTCTCAGTCCACATACTGCAGAAGTCTACCTTGTAGGATTTTGAGCATAACCTTGTGGGCGTGTGAAATGAGTGCAATTGTACAGTAACTGAAGCATTCTTTGGCACTGCCCTTCTTTGGGATTGGGATGTAGACTGATCTTTTCCAATCCTCTAGCCACTGCTGAGTTTTCCAAACTTGCTGGCATATTCAGTGTAGCACCTTAACAGCGTCATCTTTTAAGATTTTAAAAAGTTCAACTGGAATGCCATCACCTCCACTTGCCTTGTTGCTAGCCATGCTTTCTAAGGCCCGCTTGACTTCACTCTCCAGGATGTCTGGCTCAAGGTCAGCAACCACACTATCTGGGTTGTCCCTGCCTAGCATACTTAAGGAGTCCTGCCTGTGGTGCAAGATAAGTCTAAGGACTACAAAGCCCACATGTTTTTCTAACAGTAATATCTGAGAGTACAAGGGTGTTCTTATTAGGGCAGACTTGTAAGATGGAGAGTTGTACACGTCTAGCTGAGTTCTGGGACTCACTCAGCACATTTTAGAGTGTCCAATCTCCTGATTACTCTCTGTCCGAGCATTCATGCGTTCTCCAGGGAACCGTGTTTGTCGCAAGGTGTAAGGTATCTAACCTCCTTTCTCCTACGCAGGCATGCTCTACTCTCACCTCCATATCTTCCCCTGACATATATAGTCTCTATTAGTTGCCCCAGAGACTCCCCCAAGCCCCTTGTTTCCCAGCTATTTCCCCAGCCAGGTTCATCAGGAAACTGCAGGTGGCAGCAGCTCAGCCAAATCCACAGTGTCTGTGGATGGCAGATGGTATTCAGGTCCCCTGAGCACAGGAATGCTGCTCTGGTAGGGCCCTGAAAGCAGCTCCAGATTATAAGCCTCTTCTCCCCCTGAGCCAGGAGGCTGATGTTGGAGAGGAGGTGGGGTGGTTTACCTGGGAGGCAATGACTTGGCTCAATGCATGGGCAAGTCGCTTATTATACAGGTGATTGATGATTTTCAGGCCATTAAGGCCAGATTCCCCAGGAATGTGGATACTCGGCTTGAATATAATACCACATTTTGTATGGCAGGTGGATTGTGACCCCAGATATATTTACCATGCCAGAAGGGGAGTCAATTGAGAGGTTGGTAAAGCTTTAAAGGCTGGCCCAGGGTTAGTGGTAGTAATACACCCAGACATTTGGGTGTGGCGGCCAGAATTGTACAGAGACAATGGGGGACACCTGTCTGAGTTGGAATTGGATTTACAATCCCTCTGGGATTTACAAAGGGGCCTTTGGGCTGAAATTTTCAGTGAGGGTGATGAGCATGGGGCATATGAATAACCTCTATGCCCTGGCAGATAGTGCAAAAAGTAAGAGATTTGGTGAGTTCCTTTGGGACACCCAAGGAGGTCTATCATCTCATCTGATATGGAACAAGATGGAACAAGGTGCTATATGAAGAGGAATGGGAGTTAAGGGAATCTCCCAGGTTCCTATGCAGTATTTTTCTTTGCAGCATCGAACTTTCCTGTCACTTCCAGGCACATCCACAGCTCAGCGTCCTTTTGGCTTTGGCCCAACCACTTCATTAGCTCTGGAGCTACTTGCACTTGTCCTCCGCTCTTCCTCAGTACCATATTGGATGCCTTCCAACCTGAGGGGCTCATGTTCTGGCGTCATATCTTTAAACTTTTTGTTTCTGTCCATGGAGTTTTCTTGGAAAAGATACTGGAGTGGCTTGCTCCAGGTGGATCATGTTTAGTCAGAAGTCTCCACTATGACCTGTCCATCTTGGGTGTCCTTGCACGGCATAGCCCATAGCTTCTCTGAATTACTCAGGGCCCTTCGCCACGACAAGGCAGCAATCAGTGAAGTGATGTGTGATGTTTGCCCCTTTGTGGCCCCTGTTTGTCTCCCCAAAACAGAGAGCTCACGAAGGCAAGCCTTAAAAAAACCACATCATACGCTGCCACCAGTTGATTTCTTTATCAACGTACTTTACTTAGGAAAGACAGAGGTCCATTCATCACTGTCTTTTGAGTAAAACAGGTTTATTGATTACAGATGTTTCTATAATAATTCATAAGTATCTTCAAGTTCATCAATCATCAATAACAATGTTCTATATTATTCACTTCTCAGACTAATCACTCCTCAGATTTCTCAATACTCTCTCTCCCTCTCTCCCTAACTCTCAGACTGTAAATCTCACTCCTCCTCTCTGGCTCCGCCTTTTAACATCTCTAGTGGCCCCACCTCTCAACCACATCAGCATAAAGCATGAATAATGCATGACTTATTTAACATAATAAGGGTCTACGCCACAGGGTGCTTGATTGTACCTGATGGTTTTTAATGTTGCACCATTTTTTAGAATCTATTCATTTAGGATGATGGGTGATGAAAATTATCCCCTCTTCAGGAAATTAGATTTCTGAAGTATCCTAACTGTTGGTACTAGAAGGGCCACGTTTGTTTTTTGTTTTGTCTTCCTTCCACTAAAACAGATTCCTTTTTTTCTGTGGCATGCCTTTTTTTAAAAAAGAGGTTTGCTCTCTCCTGTTTATATCACATGTTATCTTACTTTAAAGATACAATTGGTAGTATCAGTACTGACCAGAACTAAACATGGGGTCCAAGAGAAACAAGTTGTTTATTTTTATTCAGAATCATCACCCACTTGACTATGAAAAGAAAAATCCCAAAGAGCCAAGCCATTTTTTCTTTCACATGATCTTTATGCATCTCCACTAATAAGTCAGTGTCTATGCCTGCACAGAGCCATCTCTTCAGAACCTTGCTAGATGGAGCAGACGTTTTGCTGGTAGCCCCACCCCTGCCATTTACAATGCATGTATGGGCACACTATCTGCTTAGTTGTGTTTAATCTTCCACAGTGTCCATGCCCCAACAGAACTTTCCTGAGAGAGAGAGAGAGAGAGAGAGAGAGTGTACTTTAAAATGTACTATTTTAATGCAATGTAATGATTTGATTATGTCTCCAGCCCTCCAGTTTTTCACAAGATAAAGATAAGTTGACATCCAATATGTGTCCATTCCTTGGCTACAATTTTGCCCCTCCCAGATTAAAATCAAGAAAAAAAATTCCAAATGTCTGTGAATCTTGAAGGAACAGTAGAGAATGCCAAGACTCTAATGTGGAAAGGAAAAACCATCTCCATCTCTTAAACTGAATGGAAGCTCAGGAAAGTCTAGCCTCCAGCCACCCAAAGAATTGGGTTGCTTGGAAGTAACTTAATAGACTATGGACTGAAGTTTGCAGAACCAAGATGGCCTAAGAATTGGTTTTTGCGCCGTCACTATCTTTGGCAAGAAGAGACAGTTTGACAGCTTTGTCAGTGTACTCTTTGCCCTCCAACATGCATTGTGGACAACTTGATGTTAACTGCCCCAAATGGTCTTGATATTGCATGTTACTGAGGGAAAATGATCTGATATATTAATTTTACTGTGGGGCTTGTGACATGAACAAAGAAGGGAAAGCAGAGGTATAGACAAGTCTATTCCATTTTATAGTTGATTTTATTCATCAGCTGTGAAACCCTACTAACTGAGAGGGTACCTCTCTTCAGCAGAGACCTGAAGCCCCCAAAAGTTGGGCCTGCATTAATGAGTAGGAGGAATCAAAATGAAAAGTCCACCTGTCTCTGTGTCCTTATAGCTAATTCCACTGTTCCTTTTGTAACACATTTTCTATAGTTTTGTGATTCAAAGATGGTCACTTTAATTCTTACATTGATTTTAATTTTTTTTACTTTGTAGTGGTTTAATATTGCAGTATCAAGAAATAGATAGAGGGCCTGCTTGTGCCATTAAGGGCATAACTGCCAGAGGCCTTGTGAACAGTTGCCAGGGCAAGGTATGTTGGCTGAATTCCAGTAGAGCAATAATATATTAATTATTTCACTGTATAATAAATGTGGGACTGTGTTTGTGTAGTCTTGGTATAAATATACATTCAAAAATGTTACAGTAGCTTGGTTGTTTCATAATTAAAACATTTTAAATCTATGTGCTTGCTCAGTTCAGTGGGGGTTTTTTGGATGTTATAAAGTAATATATTGTGATAGTTTTTCAAGTAGCGCTAACTAATGTTGGGATTAGTGTGCACATGCGAAGAGATTAGCGGCTTAGTTTAGTAGCTGACAATGTTCAAGCAAATTCAGTAATAATATGAAGCTAAATATTTTAGATAAGTGTCTTTCCAGAAAAATAATTTTAAATATTTGTTTTCAAGATTATTCACTCTTAAAACTAAATAAGATGGCACTATGTTTCAAAATTTATATTTACATTATTTTCTTTTATTAGAATTTCTCTCTGAAAGTTACTCTTCCTGGTTTGAAGGAAGCATCTCAGGTTTTAAAAATTAAACTTCTCCCAGGTAAGTAAAATATTTGAAATGTGTGAAAGCATTTTCTGTAAAGAGTATCAGATGTCTAAATTGTATAAAAGTAAATGTAATAGAGTGCAGTGTAGTATAATATGACTATTCTTTCTCATATCTATAGGCTTAGCTCAAAAAGGCAGATTTTTTTCTCTTGGCCAAAGTCCTTGGTGTGACTTTTGAAGCGAATTTTAGGTTAAGAAATCTCTGTAGCCATTATCTGTTACATACTGAGTTATGTGATTAAAATGGGAATGTCTATGGTGAATGTTTAACTTAAGGCAATTTGCTTCGATTTATGCTATTTGTATAAGCTATGCAAGAGGAGTTTAATTGTTATCTCTTAAACTAAATTCAAATTTTGAATTGGGTTCAGTTGAGAAGGAAGAACTAAACAAAACAAACTAATTTCAGATTGGACCTTCTATTGATTTGCTGTTGGTGTTGGTGTTTTTCTGCCTCATAATCTCAACTTGTTTGCTCACTTTAGGTAACTAACCAATTTGAAAATAATGTAGTTTGTTGATATCGCTAAAGTTACCCTCCATGCAACTAAGTTAATGTTATTTGGTTTCTGAAATAAAGACATGGAAAATCTTTTTACAATTTGTTGTATAGCAATTTTAAAACTCTTAATTTAGTGTCTTGGCTTTTTAGTGCTTCCATGGTAGTTTGTTGTTTGGAATGTTATCACTTAAAAAACTAGAAACAACTCTAATTTTAAAACTCAACAGGTACTCCTCATCAGCTAAAAGTCAAACCAGATTCTGACATCTTAAAAATTGAGAATGGAACAGCCTTCCCTTTCCATGTTGAAGTGCTGGATGAAGTAGGAAATGTAACAGCACAGCCAAAATTAATTGTTCATTGCAAGGTAGATCAGTGATTTACTCCTTAAATGTTGGTTTCGAGTATTTTTAGATACGTTATCTCACTGTTGTATTTTTGCAACGACAGTATAGAATGCTCTGTTGCTTTTACAAGCCTAGAACATAAATTGTGACCTTTCAACCAAGCAATATTTGTTGAGTTGACTAGGATTGATGAGACGCAATACTTCTGAAAATTCTTCAGAGTCATTTGTTTGAAAACATTTGTTGTCTTTTGAGATAGCACAGGTAGTCACCTACAGTGTGAAAAAGAAGGTTGGGAAACAAGCAAGATATTATAATACTTCCTTCTTGGGTGGATATTGAGGCCAGTATCCTGTTTAGTTTTCTTTGTGGGAAACTCAAATGTAGAAGTGGCTGCACTGATATAGAATGGTCACTTTTTTCTTTGTGGGCTCTATGAGGATCTAAGTTAGGCATATTTGCCCAGAGCTATGATGCCAGCTAGAATTTTGGCTGTGTAATGTAACAAATGGCATGTTATAGTAATTTTTGGGCCGCCCGTTCATGGTCTTTATCTGGAACTCCACACTCTGGATTTCCAGGAAAGTGGTAAAGAGTACTTTTTCTAACAAAAATTGTTGGCAGGCCACCTTACATCATTCCAAGTTTGTTATTTTGCACTTTGATTCTTCAGTCATCAGAAGGTGAAAAATTCAGTTGGCCCAAGATGATCTTAAAGTTGTTCTTTCTGAACTCAGTAACATGAGCTGGATGTTAGAAGCACCATAACAATTTATTTGATATGAATGTTCTTATTTAGGGTTTCTGAAACTTTGTTTTATTTCAGCCTGCTACTATGAATGAAATGTCTCAAAAACAACACTGGTTCAATGGAGCAAGCTTGCATTTCTTTATGTAGTATTTAAGGTTGCCTAGGAATCATGGTCCATTCTATTTAGAGTATTGATGCCTCAGTTGCCTTTGGAACCAGAGTTTCTGTACTTGACATATGTGGGACAACAACATGGAAGTCACCACTTTCCTTTGTTAGTCTTATGAGTTAGATAAGTTAGCATTTACAGAAGACTCCTTTGTCAGGAAGATTCTGCAGCACATAGTTGAGAAGAAATATACAGTACTTTGTCCTTGTCTACTGTTGTTCCCTTCTTGGGCAGAGCAGCAGTACATGTTCTCCTGAAGTGAGAACACCTTCATATGTCTCATCGAGCAGGTTTAAAAGCATAATTAATTGATATTTTGCAGAATACTGTATAATTGATATTAGCAGTTCTATGTTTATATATTAACACTTCAGTATTTCTTGGTTTTATTGCACCTGTTGCCAATTTCTTTCTGGTCCTAATTCAGTTTCAAAGCCCTTAACAGCTTGGGTGCTACATATCTAATGGACCACCTGGCTCATTATGTATGTATCCAGACATTAAGATCTTCATGGAAAGCCCTGCTCATTATACCTTCACATTCAAAGTCTGATCTAACAAGTGTGTGAGAAAGCTTTTTCTCCTGTGTTGCTCCTGTACGTGGGACTTTCAGTCACTTCCAATTTTAAGTGTTTTTAGGGAATTTATAGTATATTATTGCAGTGAAGTTTATTTTTAATTGTTCAAATTCTTTTTAGTTGTTTCTTAAACACCTTGTCTGCTCATTTTTTGGATGGAGAGGCAAGAATAAAAGTATGTATATAAATGTGTACATATAAACAAACAAACAAATAAAGAGTTTTAATTCTTGATTGTATTAGTTTTCAGGAGCTCCAGACCTTCCAATGTATGTTGTTGATTGTAGCAGCACTGGGTCTAATATCTTAACTGGTCCAGTTCTGTATGTTCAGAATATAAAGAAAGATCAGACACTTAAAGCAAAGATTGAAATACCTGTAAGTAAAGTATTACTTAAAACTTTGTCTCGTTCTTTTCATATAGCAGTCTAGAACAGTTGAATACTCTGCTGTCTTGATGACTTGGAGCCAGGCAGTGGTCTTGATCAAGCAAAGAACTAGAAAGCAAAATCCTAATTATGAAGAAACAATAAAACATGATTAATAATGATCCTGATACTCTTTAAGTTCTGTAGAACCACATCTCTGCAAGTTTCATGCTCGTCTCACGTTGCATGATAGGGAATAATGACCCACCAATTACATGTTGACATATTCCCACTGTCTGACAGTGGAAGTGTTTCATGCAGGACTTGTAATGTGTACATTAATGCCTACCCACATTGAATTCACGTTATGAAAAATATGATGCAGAAATCAGAAGCTGCTACAAAATTTTGAAAAGCTTGCTTTTCCCTTCTTTGAGAAAAATCCTGAATTTATTGTTTTGGAGATATATCAGAATAACTGTTACCTCTTAAGGAGATCTTTGGATTTCTCTTAGCTCTTCTGCAGAGCTGCTTAATCTTCTTAAATACTTTAAACACTTCTTAGTTGTTCATTAGCTATTTCAGAAATCTTTATTGCTTCTTTTTACCATTTCAGTCTCCATAACTGCTTTAAAATACATTTGAATAAAATTGTTTATAGACTCAGCAGAAATAGATTTCTACATAGATTTTCTACCCTAGAATTCGTGGTTTTAGCTGGTTGCAAATGTTACATGAAAAGTGGTCAAATTAAACAGTATACAGTTGCCTAATTTAAGCTGTGCTTCTATGTTTCTGCATTATAATTTTTCAGCTTTTAAAAAACATCGGTGAAGATTAGTTAACATAAAGCCAAGAATATTAATAGAGGTGGCTTTACAATACGTTAGTATCTCTGAAGTACATTTCCCATGTTACTGCTTCAGTTTTGTCGTTCTTTCCCCTTTCTTTTTATTAGAGTTGTAAAAATGTGTCACCCCTGGAGAAGACCATTAAATTGTTTCCTAGTAGCCGTGTTGCAAAACTACAGATATTTAGTGTTGAGGGAGAAAAAGCTATTCAAATCAAACACCAGGATGAAATTAATTGGATTGCAGGTGATGTGATGCAAAATCTTATTTTCCAAATGTATGATGAGGGAGAAAGAGAAATAATAATGACTCAAGTTCTGGCTGAAAAAATTAAGGTAGGTGCTTTCAGGAAACTACCACACAGATTATTTTTAAAGGAATAATTATCTAATATACTGCATATAGCAAATATATATATTCACACACAGTGGTGTCTCGCATAGCGATTGCTCCGTTTTACGACGAAATCGCTTTGCGATGGACTTTTTGCCATTACAAGAGAGATCACTTTGCGATGGCCCCTATGGGGAAAATTCGCTTTGTGCTGCTTGTGGGGAAGCGCTTCCCCGGGAGCAGCCCAAAGCCCCCGCCAATCAGGAGGGGGGAGCGGGGGCGCTCCAGATTGGCGCCTCGGGAGGAGGGAGGGAAGGAGGGTGAAGGGCTGGCCCCGATCCCCGCCCGCAACTCTGGGGCGGGCACCGAGCCAGAGCTCTGCAAAAGGACCAGGATCAGGGCGGCAGCGCCAGAGACCCCCTCCTCTCACCATCTGCGCCTGGGAGAGCCCCGCCAAGGAGACCGGGCGTCCGGGGCTGGCTGGCCGTCCAGGGCTGGCTGGCTCCCCCGACAAACCCCCCCACACACACACATGGACCTGCCGGATGCCGTGGGCAGGAGGGGGACAGAGGCAGAGGCCGGAGCCAAGCGCCTTGGGCAGCCAATGCCCTGTCTGCAGGGCCAGCCCTGGAAAGGCTCGCTCGTCCGTGGCTGGCTGGCTCGCTAGCTGTGGTGGAATTTCACTTTGCCATGATCGGTTCCCTGCTTGGGGAACCGATCATAGCAAAGCAATGCTTTTTAAACAGCTGATCGGCGGTTTCAAAATGGCTGCCTGCTGTTTTCTGGAATGGATACCTCGCTTAAGAGGCACCAGAAATGGCCGCCCCTATGGAGGATCTTCACTTAAATGTGAGTTTTTAGCCCATAGGAATGCATTAATCATGTTTTAATCGTTTCTGTGGGCTTTTTCTTTTTGCTTAGTGGTGAAATCACTTAGCAACGGTTTTTCCGGAAGGAATTAACCTCGCTAAGTGAGGCACCACTGTGCTTAATTTTTCATTGATTTTTGAAGGCTTGTTGAACATATAGCTGGTAATAAGATTGGGGGGGGGGTGTCCAGAAGTTAGAATGAGTTTGCAGGGAGTAAAGTCAGTCATAGAGATCACTATGGAATGTAAGATTAACACTAATGTATGTTAGATGCTGACAGTTTAAAATCCATCTTTATAATTGTGCAGTTCCCACAGATCTCAAAATCGTTCCGATAGATACTAAGTCGCTCAAGTTTTTCAAAAATTCTTAAAGAATTTCAAGGGATTCATAGCACCTCAGTTGCTAGAGAGGGTATTAACACTGTGGGGGGCGAGTAGATTCAGATTTATTTATTTATTTTGTATTAGATTGTTTTTCCTGAATGTGATACCAATAAAATCTGTTTAAGTTAAACAATTCCTTGTCAAATCAGTCATTCAGTTTATTTCCATTTAGGACTTTACACAGACCCATTAGATTCCCAGTAACAGATTACTACAGGTTTTTTTAAAATGGGCTGAAAGGCAGAGAAAATGTTACTTTAAATTACAGCTGATGTGGTTGAAAATATTTTATGCATTAGGTAAATTGGACCCCAGAGATCAATAAAGAACTACTAGTCAACGGTTCATTACCAAATGTGAAAGTACCAACATCTGTTACAGATGAGCGATATTGTCTAGTCACATTCCATGATGACCATGTATCTTTGGAAAGTTCATTTACAATCAGGTTAGTACTTCTTTAATAATACTCCTCTTTTACAGTTTTACAGTTTTTCATGCCAACTGATTGAATAAAGTCTATAATTTTTCATTTCTGAGTTAAAAGGAAAGTTCCATCATTGAGTCTTTCAACTTCCATTCCAAAATAGTGTTTTATTTCTCCTAGTTGTTTAATCTCTGTTTCCCCTTTTAATTTCTGAGCTATTTCTTTAATATCTTCTTTATGTTGCAGCATTATGTTGGCAGCATATTAAGAAATCATCTACACATGTTAGAATATATTGGTACTGTCCATCCTTAAGTCTCATATATAGACAAGGATCAGCCTTCCCTTGCTTAAACCCTTGGCAGTGTAGGAGATCTGTTAATTTATCATACCAACTTTTGGCTGATTGTTTAAGTCCATACACACTCTTACTAAGTTTACAAACAAGATTTTCTTGTCCCTTTTCTTGAAATCCTTCAGGCTGCTCCATATAGATTTCTTCTAAAAGGTCTCCATTAAGGAAAGCTGTTTTAACATCTGGATGTTCCACAAACATATTTCTTGAACCTGCTACACCAAGAAGTATCCTAAGTTTTGTTTGGTTAATTACTGGTGCAAACATTTCAAAATAGTCAAATCCATATTTCTGGGAAAAACCTTTTGCAACCAGACATGCCTTATACCTATCCACACTGTCTTCTGGATTATATTTAATTTTATAAATCCATTTACTCCCAATAGCTTGTCTGTTAGGAGTTACATTTGTCAGAGTCCAAACTTGTCTCTCCTGTAGTGATTGATATTCTTCTTTCATGGCTTCTATCCATTTCTCTCTGTAATAGGTAATTTATTGATCTCATTCCAATATGTTGGTTCCTTTATTATATGCAGGTTTTCACAAAATCCATATCTTTCTGGTTGTTTGCCTATATTAATCTGTTCTGATCGTCTTACAGAAGTTATTATTTCTGTTTCTTTTGGTGCAGTTTCTGTTTCCCCTTCTGTTCCGGTAACACCTTCAGAAGATGGACCTGCTGGTTGACTAGTGGTCTCTGCAGATAACCAATTGACCAATTCCTCTGAAACAGTTTCTATACTATGTAGATCAGTTGTCACTATGGATTCATTTATCTGTTGCTTTACAAAATTTTCATCAACATGTACATTACAATATTTAATTTCAGAAGTCTTAGGGTTCCAAATTCTATACCCTTTCGTCCCAATGTGATACCCAACAATAATTCCTATTTCAGCTCGAGGATCAAGTTTTCCTCTCCTTTCCTTTGGGACATGTGCATATGCTTTAGGACCAAAAGTTTTATATGCTTTAAACTAGGCCTTTTTCCAAACCATAATTCAAAAGGTGTTTTACCTGTTATTCTACTAGGGACTCTATTATGCAAATAAACTGCTGTAACTATCACTTTAGCCCATAAAGGAGTTGGTAATCCAGCTTGTATTAGCATAGATCTAGTCATCTCCTACCATGAATATAAACAAGTTTTATGATCACAGATATCTTGCCTTGCTTGACATACAGATGTTCCTTCATCTACTACAGTATTTAAATCATTACTAGCATCAATTATATAATGAAAACCATATTTTTCATCAACCTTAAGTACTAGACCAGTTTTATCACTGATAACCTTTCCTGAGTCACCTTTAAGGATTACAATATAACCATTTTTTACACTGCTTTTAGTAACCAGTAAATTATTTGAGGCTTCAGTGACAAAAGCAACATTTGTCAACGTAGGATTTACCACCTCATTTTTAGAAGTAAGAACTTTTAAAGGTACTGTTCCAGTTCCAAGCACATGTAAACTTTGCTGGTTTGCTTGCAATATCCTTGGTCTGTTCTCTGTGCCAAGTTGACTGAAGCATTCTCTAAATCGGCAAATATGTATGAAACTACCACTATCAAGAAGGAAATGTCTCTTATCGTCCACACCTTCATAATCAGATATTTGGAACACTTGGTTATTATGAGCAATTTTTCCATCATTGGATCTTTGCTTGTGACTCATATTTGATCTGCCTTGTGATGATCTGGAATTTCCATGACTGCTGAAATGTCTTCAGATGCTAGGGACCGCTCTTTCAATACATGCACTTGAACCTCATGATATTAAAGCTCCTGTGCCTTTAAATCTACAATATCTGGCAATCTGTCCAACCTTTGAACATATGTAGCATCGCCTTTCTCAGGCAGTGCTATATATGAAGAATGAGATCAGGTCTCATTCTTAATATAGGCACATTTTCAGGTACATTGTCTATTGCTCTTTTAAGTCCTGAGTCTCTTAAATAGGCAATTGTGTATTCCAAGTCCACCATTGCTATACACTCAAGCATAGCTTTCTGATTTGCAAAAGACTGTGATAATATACAAGTGTGGAACTCAGAATCTGAGTTATCAGAATCAGATATTTCTGCCCCTGCAGCTTGAAGCTCTGAGACAATTTTCAACATTTCATCCAAATGCTCATTAATGCTAGTTCCTTCTTTCATTTTCATACTATATAATCTTTCCTTTTAAAATATTATGTTTTCATTTGATTTAGTGCAGTATTTCCTTCTTAAAGCACCATATAGTCCTTTAGCTGTTTTATACTTAATTACTAATGGAGTTTCATGGTCTTCTATACAGGAATATAGCATCATTAAAGCCTTTGCTTCTTTAATTTTATATTCATTCTTTGCTGGTTGGATTTCAGGTATATCTTGATCTATAACATCTAAACAGTCCTGTACTTGAAGGGAAACTCTTAATCTTGCATCCCACATTTGAAAGTTGTTCTGTTCCAGCTTTGGGATTGCAAATGTATCACTGCTCTTACTCACACCCAGCTGAAAACGTTGAGTGGATGTGTTAGCTTCTGGAGTACTAGTAGGGACTGTAGACATCTCGATACTAATAAAAAAAAGTCAAAAGTTAAATTCTCTTCTCTTCACTCTCAATCCACTGAAAAATCACTTGACTGCATACAAAAACTACTGTTACTTTAAAAAATGTGAGTAGATAAATAGGTACCACCTCGGTGGGAAGGTAAATGGCGTTCCGTGTCTAGTCACGCTGGCCACGTGACCACGGAGGATTGTCTGCAGACAAACACTAGCTTTATGGGTTGGAAACGGAGATGGGCACCACCGCCTAGAATCGGACATGACTGGACAAATTGTCAAGGGGAAACATTACCATTTACCTTATAAGGTATAGGGGCACTTGGAATTATAATAACAAGTGATTACTTCTTTAAAGTAATTTTCCAATCTGTAGACCAAAGTAGATGTACATTATACACTTTAATTCCTCATGTCCCTGCCTCTGTAATGAGGTTACCTAACATGTTATTGCTTCCATAGCACTAGTGCTTCCACGGGCACTTCTTTCATGTCATCTTGCTAATATGTTGTACTAGTCTATCCTCTGAGAGAAAAGGGGCTATACAGTAGAGAACTAATTTCGATCTAACAGAACAGATTGAAAATTGAAACAAGAACTTTACATTTTCTCCTATGAGATTAAGTGTTGTTTAAGAAATTGTGGGCAAAATTGAAGTGTTTGTTCAATTCATTGCACATTGAATGGCAATCATAGAAGTGTTTTTCTTCATTTTCTGGTGTGCTCATCACACTTCAGCGCACACTGTTTGTACAGCTGTTCAGATGTCCAGGTATCCAATGGACACTCTAGAAAATGGAGAAAATTGCCAAGATGTTCGCCATTCCATGCATCGTGGCTGAAATCCTGTTAAGGAGCTAGGTATGTGTAAATGACATTACACAAGCAATAGCTCTAATTGCGTCATTCAGAAGTGCCATCCATGAAGTGCTTCCACAGGCACTATGTAGTTGATCATAACATGAACTATGTTACCAGGTGTGCAATCGAGTTATGCAATCTATGTTGCCTGGGCATAACTTTTTTATGTATAGACAAACAGGATTCTGACCAGTAAATCAAAAAGGATATTGCTCTGCAGTTTTAAATAATTTGACTTATAACAATGATTCAGTGGTCAAAGTCCTCTGACCTAGCTATGCAAGTAGCATAATCTTTGGAGGCAGATTCCCCAAGTTAAGAAATCATCACAGACATTATCATTTGCGCAGAGACATACAACTCAGTACATAATTAATCATGTCAATGGTGATTTCTTTAGTTGGGGCAGTTCACTTCCAAACATTGTGCCTTTTGTGTAGCTATACAAGAGAATTTGGTTTACTGCAGTGTCGGAGTTTTCTTTGAAGTGGGATATCTGTAAAGTGTTTATCTATAAGAAGTCACTATTTGTTTTTTTCAGACCAATTCCTGATGAACCAAAACATATTAAATGTGAAATAAAAGGTTCAAATGTGTTATTAATGGGTGAAATTTTGCAAGGTGAAATTGGTAAGTACTTGTAAACAGGCCTACTTACACTTGTAAATTTGATTCTGCATTCATTTTTGAGCTTTCTGTTCTTCCCATTTTGTTAGTCTACATTTAAATGTATATATATTTAATGATGCATTTTTCTCTTAATATATATGTTTTGTACATAATTTTTGAAACAAATACTTTGTACAAAATGTTTCTCTAGTAGAATGTATCTTGTGCAGACTTTTCCCTAGTGAACATAATTTATGCACACCTTACCTCTAATAGCACATTTTTGTAACCAATTTTTGATTCAGAATTTGGGAAAGAGATAATAATAGTTGGAATCCTGTTGCTAAGTATAGTGAGGGTACAACTGCATAGTAAGAAAAATGCAAATGGATCCATTTTAAGTTACACCTGTCAAGAGACTAGTAAAATGAGGAATAACGGTTTCTGTTACTCTTCCGGAAAATCTGGACTTGTAGTTTGTACTTAGGATAAGCTGATGGAAGGAAGTGGGGACTGCCCACTTCTAACTTCAAACTCTTTCTATGTGAGAAAGAGTTTGAGACAAGCTCACTCCTTGGTTCTGAGATAATGTTGAGAATGATTTCAGCTGAGTTAGAAGAGAGGAGAGAAATTACTCTCTTCTTCCTGAAAGTTCAGGAAAACTTGGCGATTGATAGATCTTCTGGAAGAGTCTGGAAACTGGAATGTTGGATATAAAAATGAGATTAGAAGTTACTTTGCTTACCTTAGTTACCTCTTAGGAGAATGCTTTGCTTATCTGCTGCTTGCTACAAGACAAGCACTTCACATATGCTCTGAAACTATGCTGAAACTATGCCAGGATGTTAAATATTATCATAGTTTATTTAGCTTTACCTAGTTAATTTCTTCTGAGATTATTCTGTAATTGTTCTTGCCTCCCCCTTTTCATTGTTTATTTGCTCCACAACTTGTTGACTATTCCTGTAACCATTAAAACAGTTTTTGAAGGGGTGGTTGCTCTTCTTGCCTCTTTTTTTACCACCTGTAATAAAATATATATATATTTTACAATTGTTTTGTTCTTTTGGAGTGAGAGGGTGCTTAAAATCAGACCTTAAGTTGACCACATTCCAGGACCCTGTGTATTTCTGGGTGCATTGGTATTCTTACATTTCATGGTTGGCACAAGAGTCAAGGCATTTGGTGAATTTTTGATAACTCCCTGGAAGCAGTACTTGGTCAAGGTGAGCTAATGTGCCGGGAGGCTACAGAGCAGGAAGATTTTCCCCAACCATCACTATTTTTGGCCCTTCTAGACTTCACCCACACTGGGACAATCGGTTTAGTAGTTCGTGTTGGTTTCTCTAATCCCCAGGGAATGTTGACAATGCCCAGGAGTTTGAGTTCCCTTGGATTAATTGGCTTTGGCCAACCACACAGTATCCAGCAGAAAGGGGAAGAAAGCAGCCTTGTTTGCAGCTTGTTAACAGTTTGAATCTTCTCCTCCCCACACCTGGTACTGGGTCTGTTTGTTTCCCTCTTCCCTCCCTTCACATTCCATTTCTTTTTCTCTTTTAAAGGCTTGCTGTCCTTGGCTATAACAAACTACAAATAAGTAAATTGCTACTTACTTTAGCTTGGTAGGTTGCAATGAGAGTAGACCCATTGAATCAATGGAACATTTGGAGCACTGGACTTAGCAAATCCATGCTAATTCAGTGGGCCTACTGTGGTGCAACTTACCACGCTAAACATCAGAATTTCAATCATTGTATAACTGATTTTCAGTATTCAGGAATTTTTCACTCAGACCTATTTGTAGCTCTTAATATTTTTAAAAGTTATTCTGACACTCCAGTCCTGAATTACCTTCAAATATTCATAGCACTGATGGAGCACAGGATGGTTTGCAAGTTGCAACAGAAACATGTGGTCAACAAGTTGTACAGGTAGCAATCCTGTTGCTTTTCCTTACTCGTTGAAATCTAAGTGGAATGTGGTATATTAATGTAGACATTAATTGTATTTACTACAGTCTGCTTAGACTTTGGTAGGTAAGGAACACCAATAAGATTACAAGTCTTCAGACAGACACTTTTTAAAAAGATACTGTGTGAAAGTGAGTTATTCATGGGCATATACCATATTCTACCTAGTTCTGTGTAGCCGCTAAATGTGGTGTAAGTAAGAAGGAAGTGCTTACTGTAACTTTTAATCAATTAGCCACGCTTGTGCATGCTTTGCTTGAAAGTGTTTATTATTTTTGTATTATTTATTAATTTATTATATGCCAAGGCAAAATAAAATGAAACAAATCACCTAATGTGAAGCAAAAAAGTGGACTACTCTTTGAAAGCCGTCAGCAACTGCATGTGTACAATTCTTTGTGTCTGCATACAGTCCTCTAGAGGTCTTTGAGTCACTGATGATTTCTTATCATTTTTACTTTGGATTTTTCATTTTCATATTCTTGAATCTTTTAATCTTTGCATTATTGACTCAAAGGTCTTACGCTGAGTATAATTTGTAGTCTAAACTTGAGTGGATTCATTGGATTTACAGAAATGTTGGCTTCTCTCAAAGTGTTTGAATCATTGTGTCTAATCTAATAGGGCCTAGCATTTGAATTTAGCCCTTGTTTATTAAAAACGTAGTCATGTTTAGATAACAGTAATTTTGATTGCTACATAAAGTATGATTTGATAATGAAGCCAAGAAGTAAGCCCCATCAACTTCAGTGAGATTTCTAACTAGATATCTGTAGCTGGTACTATAAAGTTATATCCAAGGATTCCATGCACTCAAACCATTCATGTAGCAGACTAGCATAAGTGATTTCACTTTTATTCTCTTACGTAAGGGGGTGTCCACTACTACAAGCACAGGGAAGGTTACTGGAGAGGTCCAGTTTATGTTCATGTACTGTATTGCATATCAGGAATCAAGTGTGGTTCCACTCTGCCAGCACTCAGCAGGATTTCAAGGCAAACTATGAGTGTGCTTATAGTTCTGTGTATATTTTAGAGCTGTCATTTATAGTACAGATCTGGAGTGAACGGCTGTGGCAAGGTGAAGTCATGAATCACTTGTGGTTGCACCTGTCATTTCAGTACTGTCCCCCAGTTAAATCAAGGCATGTTGGGAATGCAGATGTAGTTTTTCAACTAGTAAGTTCTCCATTCTTTTAAAGTGAAACAGATTGGTCACTAGGGAGCAAGAGCTGCAAAAACTGGCAAAGGGACAACATTCTGCCCACCTTTCATATTAACTATCATTCTGTGCTAAGAGATTATATATTAAATTTGTTGGAAATCTATTTGCAAATATGTTGTACATTTCAAAATATTTTCATAAATTCTAATTCTGTTTTTTTAAGAGATAAAGATTACAGACCAGCATGGAAATCATATTCAGAACCTCACGTCATTTTGTATTTCTTCCTTGGGAATTTCTGGAAATGGTCTGGATAAGTCAGATTTGCAGACCATTTGGCAGGTATTTTCCTAATATCTCATGCAATATATTTTCACCCATAAGATGATTAATCTTACTTTGAAGCATGAGGGAGATTTGCACATTTGTCTCTTATGAGTTATAGAAATATACAGAGGTGGCAGGAATGTCTTAGGTAATTACTTTCAAGACTGCAAGACTTCTTTGTATATGGCAAAACATAGTAGTAGTAAGACTGTTATTGTTAAACTGTAAATTATAACTAAACAAAAGGAACATTCAACATTTTACAGTCAGTTTCCTAACTGTCAGCACAAACAAAGCAACGTGAGAAAATGTATTTTTCATTATCAGTCAAGAACATGAACTCACTTGGTGCAGCAAAATTCTTCTAGGATCTAAAGTCAGATGAATGCTTTCACTTGGACCTTATAAAAAGAAAATGAGTAACATCATAAAAAATATCTTCACTTAACCGTTTTGTACAACATACCATAATGCTGTTCCAACAGCACTGGTGACTGATGATTCCCATCTCAGAAGTGCTGTGAATCCACTCTCGGTTTTAGTCTGCACTTTCAGAAGTTATTCAAGGTTATGATCTTATTTTGGGAACAGGGCTTAGCACCTTGGATGGTTCCTGGGTAGTGCAAACCAAAATCTGGAGTAGTTTCAAAGCAGCCTTAAAATGCATGTCATTCAGCACCACTAATCAGCAGTATTTTTTCCCAATAAAACAGTGGTATTCCCACATGAAATGGCAAAGTAGGAGTTGCTTGTATTTCCAGTGCCATTAGATTTTCAGATGAAGTTTTGGGGGGGGAGGTATTTACAACTTTATGAATTTTCTTTACACCATCTTCATTACCATTGCAGTATTATTATAATTAGAGTTTCATTCATTTATTCTTTTAAACAAAAGCATTGGCACAAAATGCGTTTGAAACTCCACACTGAAGTGACACCTTTCAAGGCCAGCCAGCAAAATACCAAAATTGTGCAAAGGCACACACAAATGTAAAAGGTTTCACTAACATCTTCCCTTCATCAAGGGAGATATTAAAAATGAGCAGCTTGGAGTGGGGAAAGGTAATTGGATGCAGAGGGTAGGCCAATCTTAAGTTCTTGGACCTTTGCATCTGGTTCCAGGAAGTTATGGAGGAGACATGGTAGGCAATTGAATGGGTCTCCTTCAGTGCATTTGATGCACTGGCATTAGGTTTTACCCAGGATAGCCTGGAGACTCATTAAGGACTGGAAAGTTAGAATCCTTAGCTCCTTTTTAAGCAATATAGATGTTTTAAAGTAAATTCCAGACTGCAACCCTCCAGTCTGAGCACTCAGGCTTCTCTGCTTAGGATTTTGTGATTCATGCTTCTCAGCTGAGTACCCTTCTATACTTTACTACATATGGAGTGAAATATGAAGTCTCACATTCTGAGGTGTGTGGCATTCAAGAGATTATACACCTTGCTGTCTCACAGACATGCTATTGTAGGCCTTCCTGATGCTGAAGCTGCCATTTCCTATCTCTGTTCTCCTTGGATGCAGGAGCCAAAAAATATTCATGTGTACAAATTTTAACCCTGTGTGCATTAAATAAATGTACAAGAAATATGTATTTTCTTTGCATAGTGTTGTTGCTAAATAACTTTTTCATCCCATCTTTGCTGAGATCAAAATCCTCTGAAGTTATATTATATACATTTTTCTAGGAGGATACACAAACAATTTGTGTCAGAGGCATTAGATTCAAGCCATGCCCTCCTGAAACCAAAGAACTGTGCATTGCCTGGCGTGAACTTTCTCATTTCTTGAGATTAAATTTGATTGCAGGACCACCAGCAAAATTGACCCTTGCGGATTGGCCAGAATCAGAGGAAGTAAGTCAACATCATATGACATTAACTAAAGCATGCTACGAAGATAGTTGCACTAGCTGTATGATTTGATTTGGTAAGGTTTGTTAATATTAAGTACTTAACATAGTCTCCAGAATGAAAAGGGATAGTGGAACAAAAGGAGCCCTAACCTTAAAATGCCAGGTGGTATTAGGAAGTGAATTTTCCATATATGTAGTTTTTCATTATAAATTAGCAATTAATGACAAGCATGAATAACATGTATTTAATAGTAGGGGTAGCCATATTCCAAGGGGTTGGGTACCATTTTGCCCTTCCCCAAACCTTGAAGGAGCCACTCATTATTTCCAATTACCTTGGCATCCAAAAGCACACCTAGAATAAAATATGCCCCCCAAATGCTAGTAAGGGCTCCCTTTGCCTTCTATACAACATTTCACCCTCTCTGTTTCAAGCCTTACAAAGCCTTAGAAACAGGAAGTGACTGGGATATCACTTTTCATAAAAGCCCTTTGGAGGCCTAACATCTACAGAGGACATGAAAGCAAAGGGGCTTTTTAAAATAGAGGTGGTTCAGATATAGTGAGGTTCAGGGGTCTACTAAATTAAAAACTCCAATTTAATGCATGCTTTATAGGTCTGATTGGTGATATGTTTTCTATTTCCAGCCAGTTTCAATAATTAATGGCAAGAAACTACTCAAACCTCTTATAGTCCAGCTCTGTGATCAATGGAATAACCCATCTTCTGAACCTAATGTCAAAATCAGCCTTGTCAAAGCAAATAATGTAAAGGTAATTTGGATGTGACTGTCACTTCTCACGACATCTCATATTTTTAAATAGTTGGAATCTTAGTATATCTAAAGTTTTTTGAAAATTTAAGAGTTTATTTATAGAGAGCAATCAATATGCTTGGTGCTATGCAGGGTGCACAGAGAAAGATCCCTGCTCTAAGGAGTCTATGGCATAAATGTGACAGGGAAAATAGTGGGAGACAGGTAAAAGCAGAAACTAAATAGAGTAAGAGTTTGTATGTCTGTGCATCTTATCTTACAGTAGGCACGGGAACTAGGTCTCAGGAAAATAAAGGGTTATATTATACACCTGTTGGAAAGATGGATCTTCAGAGGGAATGTAACAGAATAAGAGATGTAGCATCATACAGTTCTTTTGAGATGCAATTTCAAGTATGAAGGATAAGAGGTAATAATGAGTGGTGGATTATGAAGGCACAGGATCCCTTTGAATATCTGAAAATGGTGAAATTGGAGGAGGGAAAATCATGGTAAAGGGTGTGCATAAAAATGTAGGATGCAAAAAGAAAAAGTAGGGTGCTTCTTATATACAGTGGTGCCCCACATAGCGACGATAATCCGTTCCGGATATATCGTTGCTATCTGGAAACATTGCTATAAGGAAAGAAAAACCCCATAGGAATGCATTAAACTCCGTTTAATGCATTCCTATGGGGGATAAACTCACCGCTAAGCGGGAATCCTCCATAGGGCCGCCATTTTTTGCCGCCTTGGTAAGCAAGGAATCGTCGCGAAAACGCTGCGGGCAGCCATTTTCTTCTTCCGGCGGCCATTTTGGAACCACCAATCAGCTGTTTCCCAAACATCGCAATGCGAAGATCGGTAAGCGAAACGCTTACCAATCATCGCAATGCAATGTTTTACCTATTAAAACATCGCAATGCGATCGCAAAAACCATCACAAAATCCGCATCGCTATGCGGATTCGTCGTTAGATGGTGCGCTCATTAAGCGAGGCACCACTGTATCACCCCATAGTGCTTAAAGCACTCTCTGAGCACTTTACAGTTTAATTATACAGGCTACACATCCCGCCTCCTCATGAGCTGGGTACTCAATTTTCCAACCTCAGAAGGATGGAAGGCTGAGTGAACCTCGAGCAGGCTACCTAGGACTGAACGTGGGTTGTGACCATAATTTTGGCTACAACAGCAGTTTAACTACTGTGCTAAGAGGCTCCTTTCTTCTCTTATTTTTTTTTCCAAATCCACCCTTAGGACTCACCTTTCCATCAAGTCTATAGTCCAGTCTTCTGCATAGGGGAAGAATGGGTAACAAGTGGGGTTTTTGAGGGAACTGAATACCTTTGAATGTCTAAGAATGATAAAGCTGAAGAAGTTATAAGTACACAATGATAGCTCAAGGCCATACAGGGCTTTGGAAGTAAGAATAAAAAGTTTGACTATAGTGAACCTATAATCAATCACCGGATGTCCCTCCAATTGTTTATACGTTTATGATTACATAACTGTTTAGCCAGAGCCAACCATCAGTCTGGATTCAGGAAAGAAAAAGTTGGAAGCATAGGGCTTATTTCTTATATATTGCCTATCCTGAAAAGGAAATGTTAAGGATATGTGATCAATTAACATGGAAAGTTTCGCTCTTACAATTTTAAGCGTATGAATTGCACTAGTCAGATGAACATCTAAATAGAAAAATCTGTGGAAGCTTCAAATGGGAAAAAAATCTATTTTCTTGACAGATTATGCCTTCAAATCCTCTGCGCAAAACAGATGAAAATGGTAGTGCAAATTTTGGAGTTGTTAGTATTCATGCTCCCAGGTAAGTGATCGAAACCCCTTCAAACATATTTCAGAATCTGTAGTACTGTTAAAGAATCTGTGTATATATTTTTACTTTGCAAATTGTTATTTTGCCATTGTTATATGCATCGAAGTAGCAGTACAATAGATTGAGCATCAGGGCTACTGTTTATCAAGAAGCTCCATTTTGAATAATGGAAGATAGGATGGAAGAGCAGAGGCTCACCAACGGTTGCACTTTGTCATTTGCTGACGGGAATTAGTCTAAAAAGGAAAAGCCCGTAGATTCAGTGTAAGGCTGTTCTTATCACTTGTATATTTAGTTGTACTGTCCTTTAAATGTCACCTGGGTTAACATACTTATAGCTTGGGTCTGAAGCAAGTTTCTTTCTCTCTTGGTTACATATATGTTCTGCATGTTGATCCCTGCCTGCTCTTTTACCTGTGCTCTTCTACCCCATCTTGATTATATAGTATACAGGAATCTTATGATATGATTTTAGAAGAGTTTTTCTTGTAGATTCCCTAATAGCATTTTATCCTCAGTGTACCGTGTCTGGGTTAAAAAGAACAAAGGTAGTGTGTGTCACAGTCAAAAGAGGATTAAAAAATTAATACAAAAGAAAATTAGCAAAAATGAAACAAAATAACATAGAGAAAGCAACAGGAGCAAATTGTAAAAACAAAACTCAAGAACAACAATACAGTGGTGCCTCGCTTAACGGGTGCCCCGTTTAACGAGGAATTCACTTAACGAAGAAGATTTTGCGATCACTTTTGCGATCGCATAACGTTGTTTCCTATGGGGAAAAATCGCTTTGCAATTTTTCCCCATAGGCTCCATTTCCCCCAGCTGACTGGAGGGGCTTCTTCCGAATCTCCCGCCAGTCAGCTGGGGGAAAAAGTTGGCGGGCGTTCGGCAGGAGGGGAAAGGAGCCTTCCTTTCTCCTCCTGGCCGATCGCCGGC